GAGCTTGAGGAGGGCGTTCTTTAACGGCCCTAAATTACGCTTTGGAGTAGTCTTGCTCGTGTTTGTATGTGTGCGGGGCAGATTCCCGCACAACACTAACGAAGCTGCTGGCACAAGGGCGCCATGGTACTTGTAGCGATGGTATAAAACCCTCTGAACCTCTCAACTCAGATGCGACCCTGTCCTCACATGCCTTGGACTCTTATAAAACGGATCTTCCAGGCCATGTGCCACGGATCCTTCGCACCTTGTCGTGGCTCCAAGTCACAGTGCCGAGCAAGCTTAAACATAGCAGGCGGAAATTCACCATGTCCGGGTGATGATGTCCTTGCGTCGCCATCTCGCTCCTGGACCAAGTCTCAGGTTGATGCTTGAACTCGACGGCTGAACGAGCCTTACTTGGAGGTTCATGGGTAGTTATAAGTGGGGTTATAAGTAGGGTATCTAGAGTTATAACCCTATTAGAGGACGTATAACCCCACTTATAACTACCCAACCTCCAAGTACAGTAAAGACATCTGTCCTTATGGTTGTCTGTCGTTCTGTGGCTCTTTGACCAAATGTAGGTGTGCATCGTGCATGACGGGCATCACCAGGCTCTTGCGGTCTGGAGCACAACGGGGGAAACACGAAAAGGACGCCAACACCTGCTATCATAGCTTTGTCCTTCGATCTGAACTTGAACTTGTACGGTGTATGGCTCGCCCACGGCCCTTCATATGCCAAACTTCTCGCAAATCCTGAGGTTTCGACTCATCCGTCCACGAAGCCCCTTAGCTGTGCCTGCGCCCAGTCACTCTTCCATCAAGCTGGTGACGTCGAACAAGGACCCCGACGTGCAGCACCCTGCAATTGACCTCTTGTGTGTTACGATAGGCAGGGAAGGTCGCCCATCCTTTACTAGGCAAGGGAGACTGAAAGAGGGGCTCGGGGTTCTGCACCAGTGTTTCTCTCGGACCATCGCATACTGGGATGCAGCGGGGAAGTGCTTCGCCAGTCGGCTCCAGGAACGAGGTAGAAGCTAGGTTGCCGGCTGTACAGCACCTCGCCCTACTCCGGGCTGACTGCGCGCAGCATGTGGCGCATCATCCTCCCGGCACTGGCACTGCCGACTCTGCAGGCGATAAGTCTTGTAGGACACAGAAGGGCCGGGGTGACTTCTTTTGGAAGAGCTAGTGTAGGGCCCTTAAGAATTAGAATAGGGTTTTGGGGCTTCCTTATCATAGTTATAATATAATACAATATACTCCAAAACCCTATTCTAATTATTTGGGGCCCTACATTACGGGATTCTTCCCTGATATCTGACTCCAAACCCAAACTACCGAAGACCCCAAGGACCGAATTCATTGCAGCAGTTTTCTCATTCGGCGAGGTAATGTATGGTAAATGTAGGGGCCTCAATAATTACCTATATTATTTTGGGGGCTCCTTATTATACTTATACTATACAGGATCCCCAAACCCTATTCTAATTATTCAGGCCCCTATGTTAGGGCTCCGAGGTAGGAACGCTTCAGCAAATAGATGGATGAGCAACATAACTGGGAGGAGCGTAACCCTTGGGACAGGTTATATATGCCGTTTGTCTTAACCAACCCACTTTCCGGAAAAGCTTCCTCAAATCATCATCGCCTTGTAAAGCCGATTTGGAATTGGGGGGTTTCTGGAGCAGGAGCAAGACCAAAAGCAGGGAGCCAGAGCAAAAATCACAGAACTGTGACCATGGAGATTGAAAAGCTCACCCTAGTAGCAACGGCACTTTTTGAGGGGCGGGGGGCTTAATATTCAGGGCAATGGATTAATTAAACATGGTGGGGATTTTCGGCCATAGAAGGTTCGCACTAACTGGCGCCATGTGGGCTCAGGTTGTGTTCCGTGTGATTTTTGGGCTGAAAGCTTGGCTTGTCTTCTTTACACCACTGGCTGTAAAAAGCCATGCGTTTGTTTGCTATGCAGCCTTTGTCAACTTGTGAGGCGGACGAGAACTCCGTGGAAGCTCTGCTGCAGGCTGCCGGGATTCCGAAAGGGTTGAGATCCGGCTAGCCGCCGCTCGAAACAAGCCGCGCATGCAATTTCAAACTCGTGACTACTGGGATTTGCAAGCTTTGCAATGAAGCCCGCGACCGTTCGCCACTGCAGTAATATGGGGGTTCAATAATTACCTATGTTATTTTGGAGGTTCCTTATTCTACTGATAGTATAATGGGCCCCAAAACGCTATTCTAAGTATTAAGGCCGCTACATCATAGAGCCCTTAGAGAACCCTTAAAACCTGAGATGCAAAAGAACCCTTTAGAAGGAACCCTATTCTACATAGCATGGCCCCTGCATTATATCAAACTTCCCTGAAGCTCTGACAAATCGCGCCCGGCGCCAGGCGATCCCCTCAGGAAGTCCTCCGCCGCTGCTGTCCACCCTTGCTTGGGCCTCGGAGGTCCGCTCACAGCGGAAACGAGGCAGGTACTATAGGAGCCTCAATAATTATCTAGACTTTTTTTTTTTTTGGGGGGGGNNTATAAACTATACCATAAAGGAGCCCAAAACCCTACTCTAATTATTCAGGGCCTACAGTATGTTAAGTGCCTTGAGGCTTTGGAGCTTCCCAGAGCCACAGGGGTTAAGGATTTAGGGCCGGGTTTAGGAATGTATGCATAGACCAGGTGTAAAAAGGAATGTTGCACTCTAGTGCTAGGGAGGATTTGGTTGCTGCATGCTGCCCATGAGATCCGTGAGGCGCAGGGGCCGAGGGAACAGAGTGGAAGCCTCAAGGCTAAGGGCTGGTTTGTATTATCGTATGTGCTTTTTCAAGAAGCATAGATGATTGTAAGCTTATTTTCGGTATGCTATAGTTTGCATAGCTGGCCCGCTGCACCCAGCTCCACTGCAGCATATCTCTGCAGCTGCTCCGAAGGAGCTTCTGTTGACCAAAGTAATACCTATGATGACTTTTCTGCTAGTAATCAGTAGTCGTCGTCGTAGGCAGGTAGGTAGGTAGTCAGGTAGGTAGGTAGGTGGGTGGGTGGGTGGGTGGGTGGGTAGGCAGGCAGGCAGGCAGGCAGGCAGGCAGGCAGGCAGGCAGGCAGGCAGGCAGGCAGGCAGGGAGGGAGGGANNGTAGTAGTAGCAGTAGTAGTCAAAGTATGGCAAATAGACGACATTAGACGACCCTGATCAAGAAACGAGGCTTCCTGGACTAGACCCTAAATGGCGCAAAGGTGCCGCTGCAAGGTGATCTGCCGTGGCCCTATGGAAGCGCATCTGTTTGCGCAAGGGATTGGGGGAGTTGGATCTAGGATTCTTTAGCCACCAGGTTTTGCGCAAGAGCGACAGAACATGCGGGCACTTGCAACTCGATAGCTCCATTCAGATTCCCATCATTCCCGCAGGGGCTGTGGCCCTAGAACCCGACACCGGAAACCTAAGCCCGAAGTCTCAGCTAATGAAGCAGAGCCCAAAACCCTAAAAGCCCTGTAGCCTACTTTTGTAAGCCCAAAGGCCCTAAGACCCTAAAGCGCTGAACCCGGGAACGGTGAGTATGGCCATTTTCGCTGCAGCCACAAGGCTCCAGTGCTTAGGCCCCCCGCGTTTGCAGGGGGAGAGGGGGCATGGCTTCTCCGACTCCCTTGGAGCCTTGTTTGGGAAAGCCATACATACATACCTACCTACCTGCATTCATACTTATTATATATGTATACACGTATACAATGTGCTCAAGATAGAGATCCAGACAAGCATACATGTATGTGTATATATATATATACACATGTATATATGTGGCCAGACTGTAGACAGTGCTGAGTCTGTGAGGCTAGTCAAGATGTACCTTAGCCTCTTTCTGATGCCTTTTGAGAGCTGCATTGTACAGTGAGAACCTCCGGCTAGCTGCGATGAACTGCTGATGCGGACTAGCTGAGCCTTGCAAATCTGCCTTGTTTCATCTAACGTTGCCCTCTTGATACCTTGTCAGTGGGTGCAGTCGGGATAAGTATGCGACTTGAAACCTGCGATGCAGAGTCAGCGAGCTGGTGATGCCATGTGGGAGCCACAAATAATCACAAATATAGGTTTTTTGTTTTTTTTTGCTATGTGCACAAAATGTGTATCGATACTTCTCTGTGGATGCTACTACTTCCCTTTTCCATTGGAGGGTTTGTTATTGGTAACGGCCAAGTACTCTTGTGTTCCTCTCATTCGCCTTGATTTCCAAGTCTAGGCGCCAGAAACCGTGGCGTCCCTCTAGCTATGAGTAGGGTCACAGGACAGGGGAGGTGAATGAAACCATCTTGTTACGCATTCCGCAGCTCAAACAAAGGAAACACTGCAGACAGAACGTGTATTGCATCCTTGGGTTTTTCAAGCGGTTCTGGTTTCCGAAGCGTCCAGAAAAAGGAGCTTCTTCGAACGACCTTCTCGGCTGCAGCTTCTGATGGGCTGGCAAAGAAGTTCGCAGACACTCCCAAGGACCTTAACAAGCTTTGTGCCTTGTTGCGGGTTCCGGTTTTTACGACTCTAAGCACTTGTATGCAGTAGTAAGTGCATCTAGGTGTAGGCTTCCGCATTAAGCGGTGTACAGGTCAAAAGCGGTACATGTCGAAAGCTCCTGTCGGCGATGTTGGCCCGAAGCCGAGGTAAACGCACAGAGGTGCAAACCTCTGCAGGGCTCCTTTATTAATTCTGCCACACACACATATGTATATATATATATATATGTCATATATATATATATACACATACATATACGCGTCATATATATATATATATATATACGCTTATATATATATATATGTATGTCATATGCATGTATATGTCATATATATGACATACATATATATATATATATCATATATCATATATATATATATATGTATACAGACAGAGCGAGAGAGAGAGAGAGAGAGAAGCCTGAACAATTCCAGTAGTCTTCCTTAGGGCTCTTCATTCTGCTCTTATTACACAATACTCCCTATTCAGCTCTTGAGGCCCCCAGATTGCGGCCCTTATGGCACCAGTCGCGCGATCTTTCGAGGTTCCCAGAGCTACCTCCGTGCGTCGCTTGATTGAATCTTTCGGGAAGGACCCGTGGAAGCTGAAATACTTCCTCGATCTGAAAGAGACGTCACCTCAAGCGGCTCCCTGCGTCAAATGCCCTGAGACCGAGGAATCTCACATGCGGCTTGCTGTATATTATGTGTGTGTCATGTGCTATCTTACCAAGTCTTTCCCATATTCATTTGCAAAACATTGCCTACTTGTCCGTTGCTTTTACGAATTTGCTTGAGCAGCCTTATTCCGCCAGACTGCTTCCAATAGCCCGCAATCTATATGGAGGCTTGACTTGCTCGCCAAGATGGCACTCTATGCTCCGGAGTCGTGGTATGAGATCGTGACAGGACGGGCGAGTCGGTCAACGGATGAGTGACTGCCTGATCCAAAGTACTACAGTTTTCCTAAGTGGGAGTTTCCGAAAATATGGGAGACCTTATTTGGGGGTCCTTATAATAAGGATCCTACTATTTAGGGTACTATATCAGGGTTCCCTATTTTTGGAAACCCCCAAGTACAATACGGGCCGTCCGAATAGGTCTGATCGTAGGCCTGCCAGTCTATTTTTGGAAACCCCCAAGTACAATACGGGCCGCCCGAATAGGTCTGATCGTAGGCCTGCCAGTCACAGGACAGAAGTGCCCGGCAGAAGCCAAGAACGACTACCCAAATATCGGGGTAGCCTTTGACGCCAGCTCTAGATTGCGGCGTGCGGGCATTGAATGGTACCACAACGAACTGACGACGAATCCTGGCTTGTTGATGTAGCCCCTTCGGATCGGCGGTGTGCGATATCGGGACATATGCATACATCTCACAGGGATTTCAGCAAGAGTCAGGGAACCCCAAACCCCCAAACCCCGAGCTGAGTAGAGCTATCGCGGAGCCGTGCCTGCCGTACGCGAGCGCGCGACTCGACACCCAGAGTCTAGGCCCTGAAGCCGAATATAGGAGCCTAAAAATTTACTTCTACTACTGTAGGGGTTCCTTATTCTAATTATAGTATAAAAGGGCCCCAGAACCCTATGCTAATTACTAAGGCCCCTACGTTAGACCCTTATAGACCCACTTAGCCCTTAAAGGCGATGGATGCAGTCTCACGGCGGCGTGGTTCCATTCTGCTACCTGCCGGCGAGCCTTCAAGGCGCGACGGCCCTTGTGGAGACAAAGTCGTGGCAGACGGTGCAAGCCGAGGCCCAAGCCTCAATTCACCTTTGTGAAGATAGGGTCCGAATGCAAGTAAGGTTTTGGGGTCTATTCTACTATAACTCGCTGTGGACTCTCCGAAAAATAATGAGTCCCCGTTTTCTAGATCCAGGACAAGATACCTTCGCAACCGTCGGCAGAGTCCCCGACTGTGCGGGTGGTGGCAATCAGCGACACGCATCTCTTGCACCACCTTCTACCGAAGCTTCCCCAAGGAGGGACGACATCTGAAAGCCTTTAGGAAAGCCCAATCCTAAAATCCTAAAATCAGTGGGGTCTGCTGAAGGGTTCGGAGACTGGGGTTAGTAGTGGCCTTCAGGGTCTAGGGCCGCATCACTAACGGAAAGGAACTCAGCCGCAAGGCCTCGATTGCTTCCTTAATGCAAGAGTCGAGCATCAAACTCAAACACTGAAGCCGGCACCATGTATGCACAACACATGTGCTCATGTATATATGTCAACAGCGACGAAAACGACAGTTGCATTTGATCCGTAGGAGGCTTCTTGCACATCACAGCGCGTAGCCACATTCTCAATTCGTGCGTCTACCGGGAGTATGGGTAGCATGGTGGAAATCGCATATTCCCAGCCCTTCAAAGCCACAAGATCGTCAATTCTACACAATGCTACACTGCAGCCAACCCCGAAGAACCATGCCGCAAGCATTTCCAGGAGATCTTCTGATACACTGCGGAGATCTCAGCTATGAGGAGTCGCGATCACAGGATGCCAGGGAGTTCGATGAGAAGTGGCAGGACACCGAAGGGTTTGGGGTTTCTTTGAACCCATTGTCCTGCTAGGGCTAGGAGGATCCTAATTATGTGCAACTGGGCTTCTAAGGTAAACCGCAGGATTGAGGGTACGAGGCATTCAGAGACGACGTCATCTTTCGTCAAGGTATACGGCCCGCCTTCCAGCAGGGTGCATGGGAATGTTTTGTTTACCATGGCAACTTTCTGCCAAACAACTGTTCGTGCTGTTGGGTACCGATGATAGAGAATATTAGGGTAATGGCGTGTCGACCACAACATGATAGTAAGGCTATGCCAGCAGTGAGCCTTGTTGTAGGCAGTGCGGAGTATTCACGATTCACTTCCGGAAGGTTGCTGGGAGGTTTTCGCTGTTCTATCGAGATTTCCACAGCTGCTACAACTGGGGAGGGTCTGCGAATTGGAAATAAGACCTTGAAGTCCCGATATGTTTAGGGGCCCAGATTGCTGAATCACTGTTGTTTCATTTGTTGGATGCCTTGAGCTTTCTTCGAGTTTTCGAAGCGGTTGGAGCTCGGCAAGGCCGAGTACATCATGAACCTGCCCGTTGGACGCACCCTTGAAGGAACTCTGCTCTTATTATAAAGGCCCCCTTTGGTTTAGGCTTAGCTCTAAGCCTCTAAGCTGGATCCAAACCCCACCAACTTGTAAGCAAAACGCTCGATCCCAGTGCACCAAAGACTTTTAGGCTCCGATTTCCGAGTTTTCAATCGTCGCTGAAGGAGAGAGGCGGAGGGAGAGGGTTTAGGATTTAGGGTTTAGGGTTTAGGGTTTAGGGTTTAGGGTTTAGGGTTGAGGGGGGGAGAACGTTGCCTCCTGACCGTTTCTTCTGGTCAGGCGGGGTTGCCCTCCTCGCATCTCACTTCTTGTTTTCCAGAGCGTACTTGGTTTCCCCCAAGCGACCCACAATAAGTGTATGCACACCTGAATTGTGCAGCCTGCTTTGCCATAGCCACTGCAGCTGTGGTTCCGCCGGGAGCCGGGTGCGATGCAGTGGTGTTCGAGGCATGTGCTTTTTAGACGCGAAAAAATTCCATGTCGAGGTGATGGGGAGGGGAGCATTATGGAGTATTTGTTTCACCCTGTAGGGGGGAACTGTTGTCGTGTTGCTGCGGTACCACCCTCTTTCTACTTTAGGGAGCGGTCCCTCCGACATAATGTAGCTCGCCGCGCTACCAGCGTCACACGGATCGCCTGGTGTGTGTGTGTGTCTGTTTTTGTTTTTGTTTGGTTGCTTGTATGTTTCGTGTTTGTATTTGTGTGTGTGTGTGTGTGCTTTCGCTCGCCATCGTTATTGTGCTGCAAACTGTTACTTGTAGCATCCTTTAGCCGAGTCTGTCTTGGTCGTGGGCTGGTCTTGTGCATTTCTGGACGCCTTTTGTGGACCCTAAACCCTAAACCCTAAACCCTAAACCCTTGTGGGCCAGGCTAGGATTTGAACACCAGTTCCGGTCCGAATTAGTTTGAGCTGTGAACTCTCTGGTTCCCATGATCGATCTCGTCCTTGAATAATCTTGGCAGGGAAAGGTGGGCAGGTTCATCGCCAAAAGCCGCAAGCTTATGCTGTGGCTGAAGGCCGCTTCTTCATTTCGATGTCTTACGACGGTTTGAATATCACTCCAACTCCTTCTACGCCGCAAGGAGTTGGGCGAGAACTTCCCCGAGTTCCTGAATCTGGGTTTTTGTTGAGAAGGCCAGTTTATTCAGTCACAGCAAGCAGGGAACTTTATAGTATTCGCGTCACATTCCTCTTATGGCAGCTTTTTAACAAGTTCGGAAGCTTTCCTAAACCCCGAAAAATCCATAAAAAAAGGAAGCCCTTCTGAATCTAAACAAAACAGACCAAGAAAAGCTCCTAAAAACCCTAAACCTTAAACCC